CCATTCATGTCTCGGATGCGGTCCTCGTGGGCCTGAATGTCCGCCTCAACCAATTGATGCTTTTTGATGAGATTCTGAACGGACGCCAAGTCTTTGCCGGAGTCCTCACTCTTGAGGAGACCCTCCACTTCTCCCAACCAGAAGTCAATGTCCTTAACGGCTGCGTTGAATGTGCGCTGTTTATTGGCCTCTTTCAGTTTCAACGACTTCTCGGTCGTCTTCTGCGACAGATGTGTCCACTGCTCGGCGATCGATGTCAACCGTTGCTGAACAGCCTCTTCACTGCCCGCGCACTTCCGGTTCTTAATCAGATTGTCGCCCATCGCCAGCACTGACTGAATGCGATCCTTATTGGCCGCCAATTCGGCCTCAAATGCTGTTCACAAATATCATAAAACAAATTAATTACAAACCAAAATGCAATATAAATATAAATTATAATCTACTTATAGTTAGAACTAATTAATCAGATATTAGCTGACAATCATAGGCTATGATCTCAAAAACTATTAAAAAAGAGAGTACACCTTATAAGTGTGTGGTTTTAGACATTTCATCATTCAAAATCAAACTACAAATAAAAGCACAATCAACGCGTGACACATACCCTGATGTTTCTGATGCTTGGACTGTATGTTTGCGGGATCTTTATAGCTCTCATCCATAGCCATCTGGAGCTTCTCTGCGATCCAATTCTCCACTTCATCAGCATCTCTGGAGAACTGCTGAAGAGTTTGCGATTCACCCAATTTGGAGCGCTTCTCAATCAAAGCCTCCTTCAGATGTCGCCATCGGTTCAAAACCTGTGACTTCTTGTCTTCGATGGCCGGCGACGCGTAGTGTTCGGAATCAATCAGTTGTTGAGCCAAACCGGTCAGAGCGCCGATCTTCTCCTCCTGAGCGCTGATCGCTTTGTCAAAGTCCTCGTGCTTTTTGATCAACGACTCCACGTTATCGCCGCCCATATCGTCACTCGAGAGGAATGCCTCCCGACTGGCCATCCAATTCTCCGCCTGTTCGCAGTCGCGGTAGAATAGCATCAGCTCAAGACACTGATCCAGTTTGGCTCGTCTGGCAATCCACGCCCTCTCAAGCTCTTCGCGCGCGCGAGACATTTGGTCCAACTTTCCCTCCACTTCGCCGCTCGCGTAATGACCCGATTGTAGCAAATGCTGACCAAATATCTCAAACTGTTGGAAAGGTCCCGCCCGGGCGTCGATCTCAGTCCGGTGTTCCTGATGTCTCTCCAACAGCGCTTCAGCACCCGTCACATCATTGGCCAACTCTTCGCTGGACACCAGTGTCATCATTGAGTTGATCCAAGACATCAGATCGCGATAGTCGGCCAAAAATGTCTGCAAATCATACGAACTGAAGAGTTTCTCTTTGCGAGCGTTCGCTTTGGCCGTCAATTGACTCCAATCGTCGTTAATCTCGCGTTGCTTTTCAAATGTCTGGTCCGCGGACTCGGGATGTGTTTGCATCAAACGACTGGCCGTCTCATCCAATTGTTTAATCTTATCTCCGAGAGCCGCCAAATCACGCTCCAGACCCTCGTGTTTGCGCTGTAATGTCTGAACCGATCGCAAGTCGTGGCCGTAATCGTCATTATTCAAGGCGTCGTCTTTCTCTTGAATCCAATCCTTAGTCTCGTCAACATCTCTGTGGAAGCGTTGGACCTCATGAGCCGAACCCAACTGTTGGGCCCTCTCTTGGGTCACCTCTTGAAGGTGTGTCCACTTCTGGTTCAACTCATCGACTTGTTGTGTGATCTTAACGGCCG